TGCCTGGCGCTGTGTTGCTATGTAACGCTAGCGGAAGTAACCGCTGTTACTACCGTAACGTCACCGCTGTTGACTCGCGTTGCCTAGCGACCGCGATATCCCTCGGTGACGTCACCGCAGAGGGGAGTGGCGGGGCAGGAACTCGCCTATTACCGTAGTAACACGAGCGTTACGTTACCGCCACGTACCTCAGGGGAGGTAGGGGTCAACATGTCACAATATTTTATCTTTATAATACTTCCAATTTTTAATTTTTATATAATCTGAACTTTTGTATTTTTTATATAAGAATTTTTAAATTTGTACGATTAATAGTGTTATATCCATTTTATGATTGCAGTTAAATGGTAGATTTTGTTGATATGACACAGAAAAACGGGAACTTTGGGCAAACAAATAATAATAGAATACAGTAAAACTTGGTTATAGCAACATCGGTTTCTGCGACACCTTGTCTATTGCGTCAAATATTCAATGGTACGAACTAATTCCTCATAAAGCAACTGTTTTTATACCTTGCTTAGTACGACATGCACAAATGCATCAACCTCGTATGTAACGTCATTTTCATTCCTGAATTTCTCTGATATGGACATTGAACGTAATTTAGAAAGTGTGTATTGGGCAAGTAACAGGAAACAGATGAAGATAACTGATTACTGTACTCGTATCTAGGTACAGTAAGGCACAACAATTGATGTAATCTACTGTAATTTGGTGAGTAGGCCTACCTTTAATATACAGTATTAGTGCGGTGTGTACTGTCAGTGAAAAGCGCTGTAATATGTCTTTGATATTACACATTTGGGCAATTCCACGTTAATGTTACGTTAGTCTGTACTTAACTACGTATTTCACTAAAAAATGCAACATTTTAACTCGGTTTTTTGGTAGATTTTTACGTGACTAACATAAGGCTACTGTGGAAGTGCCCATTTCGGTTACAACGACATTCGTTTATAACGACACTATTTTTAGGTCCCTTTGATGACGTTATAACCAAGTTCTACTGTACATGCAACAACAAAAAATTTTATTGACAGTAATTGAACCACAACTTGCCTTTTAAGAAACAACAGTCCAAATTATCAATTTCTGAAAATTATGTCCTGCAGATGGCGTCCTTGTCTACGTATACATTCTCCTAATCTGTTGTTCAGGTTCCCCATTGATCACTGCAACATCTCAGCTGGGATACCACGAATTTCTTCTTCAATTCTTTGTTTCAATTCATCCAGTGTCCTTGGCCGAGTCGTATAGACCTGACTCTTGAGGTAGCCCCACAAGAAAAAATCACAAACTGATAAATCCGGTGATCTTGGGGGCCAAGGAATGTCACCGAATCTTGAGATGACACGATTACCAAACAATTCTCGCACAGCTGCAATTGATTGCCTTGCAGTGTGCGATGTTGCACCATCCTGCTGAAACAAGGTTTCATGAAGTTGTGGGAAATTGTTCAATGCAGGTGCAACAAAAGTTTGCAACATCCCAACATACTGATCTGAAGTGACAGTCACTGTGATCCGGTCTTCATTTTCGAAAAAGTAAGGTCCGATGACCCCGTGTGATGAAACTGCACACCATACTGTGACCTTGCTGGCGTGTAAAGGGCGTTCATACACTTCCTTAGGGTTGCTGTCTGCCCAGTAACGATAGCTGTGCTTGTTCACATAACCCATAAGATGGAAATGGGCCTCATCTGACATCCACAGCTTGTCCAGAAATTCATTGTCCTCGTTTATGTTTGTCATAATTTGCTGACAGAATTGTAATTGCAACTGGTGATCATTCTCCTTCAGCTGTTGCACAATTTGCAGCTTGTACGGATGAAAATTTAAATCAAAACGGAGAATTTGGTGAACACTCTCTTGGGACACTCTGACCGCAGCTGCATGCTTATGAACTGAACGCCGTGGGTTCTGTAAGACTAAAACGCGTACAGTTTCGATATTCTGTTGAGTACGAACACTTCTTGGTCGTCCTGTCGGTTTCTTTTTCAGAGCAGATCCAGTCTCTTCAAAGTTTTGAACCCAAGTTTTTATTGTGTGTTTAGAAGGAACGCGACCATGACGCCCTAATTTGAAAAAGCGATGGAACTCCCTCTGCGCACTTTCCAAACTATCGTCGGTTTTGTAAAACATTTTTATCGCGAAAGCACGCTGTCTACCGTTCCACTCCTCCATTATTACTGAATGGCGTGATTGTTTACAGCTCACAGTCCCCCTTCCATAGTGCTGCCAACTGTACATGGCTGCCACTACGCACCTCAAAAGTTCCCGTTTTTCTGTGTCACCTTGTATTTGCCTGATGATGGCCGATAGTGGCCGAAACAGTAGCAAAGCCACAGCTGAACACTGACGTCGATGTTTTACTATTTGCTGTGTTGTGATGGTTCATTAAAGAGTTGTAATTCATACTGATTTCATTGGATTTACTGGGACACATTCGATGTACCCAGTCTTACTAGAGAGGGCGAGTTTGATAAACTGTCTCCAGATTATTCGTGCAGGTCCATTTGTGTGTGAATGGAAATCCTGTAATAACAAAGTGTGATATGAGGTTCTGACAGTGGTGACTGTGAGCACTTTTGACTTCCTGGGATGTGATACCGTGTGGTGATGTAGATTGTTACAGGTGTTTTGGTGTTCCTACTGTCTCCATTGTCAGATTAGAAGAGTGCAGTAAGTGTGGAAAAAATGGTACAGGCATAAGGAGAGGGAGGATCACTATTCTTTACACTGTTTGGATCAGTGGGGGCCATTTTCTCTGTATATATGTACCGTTTGTTTGCACACATGGCCTGCTCTTCTATCCTGACTGTGGAGGAAGCAGGTCTCTCCGAAATGGTGATGATATGCAAGACTGCACAGTGTTATGTCCCAGAAGAAAGTACTCTTTCCTCATAAATCATTCATATTTTCATATACATTTAAACAAAATAAATTGTTTAGCCTATTTCTAATATGTATTTCTGTTATGTATTTCACAATGTTTCCACAAGAGGACACAGATCTACAGTAACTGGGATGACATAACTGGTCATAATATGTAAATTATAACAGACCTAGCTCAGTAATTATCTGTAATTAGTTGTAATATATTTTCAATTTATATATATGCAGTCGTCCTATCTAAAATTATTATGGCTCATATTTTATTTAATCTTACTAATTTGATCTACAAATTTAGAAAAAAATTATAATAATCCAGATCTGTTTGTCATTAATTGATAATCATAACAAAGATGGCTGCTGATGGTACAATTTTAAACATGTATTGAAGAGGCTGTTAACACCTCTCTAGCTTGTGTGAACATTTAACATAGAACTGGTTATAAATGTGTGACGCCGGAAGACACCTAATTGGTAATTTTAAGTGATTATATGAAATTGTGACTATGTTATTATTGTAAGTTATTTAATTTAAGTTTTAATTGAATTTTATTTATTATTATATGTGTTTTTATGATGTATAAGTTTGCCTAACTGCAACCTGCAAATTTGATGTTAACCCACTGTTTTAAATAATGGACTCATACAATTTTGTATATGTATTTTGAAGATTATTTTGATATGTATTTTGAGGACCACTTCCACATCCTGGTTATATACTGTATGGACCTATGGAAAATAAATAAAACGAATGAATGAGTTCTGGGAAATCCTCTGGTCAAATGCTGCATGCTGTTATTTTTATTTTTCTTTCTGTTTCCTGTTTCTAAGTGTATATCTTCTTTCATCCAAGTTTCCTTGTAACTGTTCTAAACCGTCTGGCCCTAATGGAACTTCATTTCCTTCATCTTGTACTTGTTCTTCTTCAGGGTTTTGTTCATGCGGAATTATTGCTTCATCTTGTGAGTCGAGGTAGAAATTTAACGACATTGGAAGAATATCTTTAAGCTGAAATCCTTTCTCACTTTCTTTCTTGTTTGTTATTTCTTCTTCCAGAAATTCTATATCTCTTGCCACAATTATTTGAGACGGATTGCGGGGATCTGATAACCGATAAGCTTTACTTTCCTCACTATATCCCATAAAAATGTACTTCTTGCACACAGCATCCAGTTTTTGGCGTTTCTGTGATGGTACATGAGCATACGCTGGACATCCGAAAATTTTTATATGGGAGAGATCAATCTTTTTTCCTGTCCATATTTCTTCAGGCAATTGATTCTTTAGTTTCTTGTGAGGTGATCTGTTTAAAAGATATACGGCTGTTTGAGCTGCTTCAGCCCAGTATCTTTTGTTGCAGCCGGAATCATACAACATACATCTTGTTTTTTCCAAAATGCTGCGATTAGCTCTTTCGGCAGTTCCATTTTGTTGTGGGTTATACGGCACAGAGAATTCCCTTTTGATTCCCTTTTGTTTTAACATTTCATTGAATAATTTGCC